AATGCAGTCTCGTCGTGACCACGTGATGATACCGCGGCCATGCCCTGGAGAGCGTGGGAATGTCAGGAATTCTCGAAAGCTCAGATTATTAGTTTTATTATTATTATTATTATTATTCATTGTGCCCACGTGATGATACCACAGCTAGCTAGGCCCTAGAGAGCGCGGGCACGTCGGGAATCCTCGGTTGCCCCGGTCCAAAGAGATGAGCCTCATTGTGCCCACGTGATGCTGCTAAGGCCTTGCCCTGGAGAGAGCGTGGGACGTTGGGGAACCTCGGAAGATCGGTCATGTCGGTGATTCTTGAATGCTCGGTCCATAAGAATGGAGTCTCGTCATGCCCACGTGATGATACCACGGCCATGCCCTGGAGAGCGTGAGAATGTCGGGAATTCTAGAATGCTCGGATTATTAGTATTATTATTATTATTCATTGTGCCCACGTGATGATACCACGGCTAGATAGGCCCTGGAGAGCGTGGGCACGTCGGGAATCCTCGGTTGCCCCGGTCTAAAGAGATGAGCCTCATTGTGCCCACGTGATGCTGCGAAGGCCTTGCCCTGGAGAGAGCGTTGGGACGTTGGGGAACCTCGGAAGATGGGTCATGTCGGTGATTCTCGAATGCTCGGTCCCTAAGAATGCAGTCTCGTCGTGCCAACGTGATGATACCACGGCCATGCCCCGGAGAGCGTGGGAATGTCGGGAATTCTAGAAAGCTCGGATTATTAGTATTATTATTATTATTATTCATTGTGCCCACGTGATGATACCACAGCTAGATACGCCCTGGAGAGCGTGGGCACGTCGGGAATCCTCAGTTGCCCCGGTCCAAAGAGATGAGCCTCATTGTGCCCACGTGATGCTGCGACGGCCTTGCCCTGGAGAGAGCATTGGGACGTTGGGGAACCTCGAAAGATGGGTCACGTCGGTGATTCTCGAATTCTCGGTCCCAAAGAATAGAGTCTCGTCGTGCCCACGTGATGATACCACGGCCATGCCCTGGAGAGTGTGGGAATGTCGGGAATTCTCGAAAGCTCGGATTATTAGTATTATTATTATTATAATTATTACTATTCATTATGCCCACGTGATGATACCACGGCTAGCTAGGCGCGGGAGAGCGTGGGCACGACCGGGTTCTATGGAAATTAGAAATCACAACCAAATTGAATAAATAAATAATTACAATAATTGTTTTCTTCTGTTACATCAACAGGTCTTCGATTCTTAAATTCTTCTTTCTTTGGCTTCATTCTTCGTCTTCGGGTCGGATTTCACCTTCTTCAGGGTCTGAAACTCTTTCGGGTCCGTCAGCTCGCATTACGAGGGTTTCAGAAACCCTTGGGCCCGTTTGGGGGCCCATTGACTGCGTCGGGTACACAAGCTGCGCGCGGGAAGGCCGCGCGTCTGGGCGCCCGCGCCCGG